AGGCGTGTAGGGCATTCTACTCTATTTGCCTAAGTTGTGCCTCCACACTGCTATTTATACCCATACTAAATGAGTGTGCATTGTCTGCACTCTACATGCTGTCTTGGGTGCAGATGTACCCTTTATTGAAACATTAACAGTCAATTAGCACCTCAACTAGATCTTTTAAAACTCTTGGAAGTTATACAGACCTGCTGATTTTAAAAGGTCTAACTTTAGTAGCTGCTGTTTAATATCCCTCTGATATCCTTGCACAGATTGAACCTCTCCAGTCAGACACCCTGGGCACCTGAGTGGTGCCGAACCAGAGAATTTGCCAAACCACAGGAGGTCAATATTGTCTAGCAGCATCACCAACACTTCTTCTTACTGGACACTTAAAAGACATTTGGGGCAAGTCAGAGCTAAATAACAGCACAGAACACTGACAGCCTGGATTGGTGGCTGGAAACAAACTTTATGGGACAAGGGAAACTTGGCCACACCCATAATAAGTGGATATTCAGCTAACTAAAATGATGCCAAACCATAGACATTGCCAAAGCAGAGTGTGCCAGACTAGAGAGGGTCAACCTGTACAATGAAAAGAGTGATATAGGATTTAACATGGCCAGATGTACTGTAGGAGGCAATGTCAAACTAAGTTACACAACACCAGATACATGAATAGTGCTGCTGGAGTTCCTTAGTTTGAGTTCCCACGGCATCTCCACTGTGGGGAATTGACAGAAGAAATTCTCCCATTGACTCCCCTTTCTCTTCTCGCTCCAGTGGAGTACTAGAGTTGATAGGAATGCAATCAGCAGTCGATTTAGCATGTGACCCGCTAAATTGAATCCCAGGAGATCAATCCCCACAGTGCTGAACTCCCAGGAAGTGCAGACAAGCCCTAAATCTGTTTCTTCCCAAATATAGAACAGAAGTATTGACTATTTCTGCCTTCTCTGCATTATTATTGATAGTGGGATAATACCCACTCCAGTAATCACGAAAGGCCTAATTTTGTTTGTAAAAACAATTTCACCCAATTGTGAGAGAGAAAATGGAAAAACTGTACTGTACAATGACCTACAGCTGGGTCTGTGGACAAAAACCCAGAACAATATATTTCAGTAACATTTTCCTCTTGTATTAGTTTTCTTAGAAAAGCCGATTTCTATTTCAATTTTTTTCATAACAGGCAATGTTTATTTGCTATTTCATGAAAGTACATTTAGAAAAGAAGACTATAGCAAACACTACACTTCTCATTAATCACTAACTGGAAGCAATACAAATTTAGGCATCACTAGATTTATGTGGGAGAGCTTTACGTGGAGCAAAAACCAGAAAATGATTGGAGCAGAGGGTATTTATTACATGTGGATAGTTAGGCCATTTCCTCTCCCTTTCTGTTAACAGAAAGAAAACCAAGTGCTGATACCTGCCTCCTGCAGACAGCCTGAAGTCTGTTGGGTGAGGGGGCAAGGTCCAGGGGCTCCCCTGGTTTGCAGCAGCCTGCCACCCTCCCCGTGGCCTGCAGACTGCTCGTGGTAGGGATGTAAAGCAAGAATCCAACTGTTGACTACACGACAAGCCTGAGCTTATTAGACAGTCAAGCAGACTACTCGCTTCCCCCACCCCCACTGCCTCTGTACCAGAGGCAGCAAGGGGGGAGGGCTGGAGCCGGTGTTGTGGGGAGCTGGCTTAAAAGCCAGTTTTTCCCAGCACGATCTCCGCAGTGCAGCTCTTCCTCCATTAGAGGCAGCGGGGAGGGAGGGAGGCTGCTACAAAGCAGCTTCTGCCTGTGGCCAGTCCAGGTCACTGCGAACAGGGTCTTGCTACCGGAATCATGTTCACGGTGGCCCAGGCTAGCCATGGGCAGGGGCTGCTGGACCCGGCATGAGCTGAGACCAAGCAAACCCGGCTCAGTCCCAGCTTGCCGGGACCGCTGCGGTTCTGCATTTCAAATGTAGTAGAAATGGCCCAGTCCTGACTCTTTAAAATGCAGAGCTGCAGTGGTCCTGGCTCTGTCCCCACTCATGCTGGTTGGGGACCTACTCCCACTTCAGCTCTGCAGTTTAAAGATAGTAGGAGCTAGGCCTCCTGCTGGGCGCGAGCCAGTTCAGAGCTCCTTCCCTTATCGACTAATCATTTAGTTGATACCAATTGTATTGACTACACGATTAACCAATTACCCGCCTCAACACCCTTAGTCCGTGGGGGCTGCAGGCTATAGAAGGCAGGGATCTAGGATCTCACGGGAGGTGGGCCTCCTGTGGGAGGCCCACTTATCTGGTCTGGTGGCAGGCAAGATGGCAGACTGCCTGCCCCACTGGCTACTCTCTTGGTGTGCAGTGGGCTCCAGTGATCCCTCTGCAGAATGGCTCTCCCCTGTGGACTTGCTGCCCCCAGTGGCCACTCTCAGTATCGTGTCCCTCCTTTTGCAGCTACTTCCTGTGGTCACCCTGCAGTATAACTGACCCTTGCTTTCCCTGCCTCCAGTGGTCACTCTGGAGTGTTGCTGTCCTTCAATCAGCCCCTCCCTTTCCATGTGGTGAAAAATAGTCCCATTCCCATAACTTCCTGTCTTCCTGGCACAACCAAACCCTAACCTTGCTTGAAGTTAGGATAAGAGGAAGCTCCATATGAAATATGGTGGTCCTAGCTCTTACTGTTTGGAGTTCTTGAACAAGCAGACACACAGATGCAGATAGATTGACAGATGCAGTCTTTAATTACAAGATCACGTAGTGTTTTTTCCTTAGCAACCCTGTCTCCTTCAAGTCATAGCTTCTATCCCTAGCTCCCACTCCTTGCCCCACCATTTTCGGCCCCCTCTTTGTTCCTGCCTCTTCCTTCTCTTTCCCATCTCCTCTTCCTAACTATTCCCTTTCTACTCCAAATTCTATAACACCAGCTGTATTCTGGGCCTTAGTGCTTAGTGTTTAAATACACTGCACGTGCCATTTTACAGATGCTATGGTATGCTTATTGGAAATGAATAGTGGTGGAAAGGTAAGGGTATTTAACAGATACTGGCAGATAGACTGTAGACAATTTAAGAGTCCCCATTCAATGGGAAGAGCAACTAAATTTGGTCATGAGAATTCTACAGCATAAAGGTAAAACCTGAAGAATAAAAGCGGGGTTGATTGAAAAGGCTACATAACAAACACGTGTACTATTTTAATAAGCAGAATCTTACCTGAAACATATCTGTATCTTTATCATGTGAATACTCCACAACAACCGTCTGGTTTCTGGATAATGTATAAGAGATACTATGCTGACCTTTACAGCTGATGGCCTGTTAAATAAGAGAACAAAAAAAAATATCCATTAAAAAAAGCTTAGCGGCAAATAATCAAATTCATTTCACTATATAATATACCTGATAATAAACAGTGGATGACAATATTCTATTACAAGGTTGAGTAAATCAATACACAAAATCTCTGAGTTCTTAAAATTGCTTTTCTGACTCAAGACCTGTATCTGTTTGCTCCTTAAGTATTTTATGACTTCAGGCATATCCAATGTTTCAGAAATTTAGATCCCCACTGTATCAGATTCTATTCTGAAATCTCATCCTGGGCCTAAAATTACTACACCTCAGAAACAAGGCATCCATATATCCTTCTCCATTTTCCTTTGCACAAAAACAAAAAGAAAAGTAGACCCCCACGCTTACACAAGATTTTGTATTAAAAATGGATTCATTTTAACAAGAATTATCTAAAGCTTAAATAGCACCAGTAATTCACATTTTATACAAAGTTTAAAGTAGTAACTCATTTGAAACAAAATGACTTATCAGAATTTACCAGAATAGCACAACATTGAATATGCAACATAAACATTATAAAACTCCCTCAAGTCTGGAAGATAACTGGAAGAGACAATCATTGCACATAACTTTCACAATAATTTCTAAAGAACATCCAATGCAAATAATGCTGGACTTTTTCATCACACTTTGCAGCCTCATTATCAAAGCAGTGTACTGAGTAGCTTATTTGATTTCTCTAATTTTCAGAAGGTGGTACAGGTTGGACCTACCAGGTCCAGCGACCTCAAGACCTGACTGGTACCAGATGAGGGATTTTGACAGACCAGGGGACATAATTTTTGGACCCTGCCTCCAGCCCCCCGGCTCAGCTGCTGGCCTCTCAGCTGGCTCCCTGCTGCCCTGCCACCCACTGGGCAGCCATAGCTCTGCTGGGAAGCCCGGCTCCGGGGCTCTAGGCAGCCGCACGCACATGCTGTGTGCAGGGGCTTCCTGGGCAGCCCCACGCTGGAGCTTCCTAAGCAGCTATACGCACCACACTGATACACCAGGGCTCCCTGGGCAGCCATGTGCACACAGTGCACCAGGGCTCCCAGCTCCACTGGGCAGCCAACACGCCGGGTCTCCCAACCCTGCTGGGCAGCCCCGCTGCCATGCGCTCCACGGTCCCATCATCAGCTCCCTGCGGGCAGCCCACTGCCTTGCTGGTCCCACAGGGATCCTTACTGCTGGCCCTCCACTGGGACTCTCTGGTCCTGCAACACTCATGGATCCCGGTTAAGAGAGTTTCAACCTGTACTAAAGTAAGTGAAATACCAACTTCCATCACCACCACAAAACCCCATTAAGGTCCAACCCCTGCTCACCCCCCCCCAAAGAAAACAGATAACACTAAGTCATGCCAGACAAATTCTAGTTTTTTAGTTTTTAAAGACAGAACAGTTCAGCTCAAGTTACTGAGATTAGCAGAGTCTGCAGAATTAACAGTTATTCAGCACAGATGCGCCTATATAAATAGAATTTCTTCAGCACAGAGTACATGTAACAGACTTGCAGGGCTCCTGGCAAGGGAGGTGGCTGGCTGTGTCCTTGGAAGGGACGGGCCTCAGGCAGAAAGAACGAATTTCGGGCAAGGCTTCCGGAGGCAGCCCTCAGAGCTGCCCAGTGTGCACCGTGCCCAATGCTCTGGCGGTTATTAAAAGGGCCTGGGGCTCCAGCCACTGTCACTGCCGCATTAGTAATATAGACACAATATAATTTGCAAAAGCGGCGAGGAGTCCTGTAGCACCTTATAGACTAACTGAAGTGTAGGAGCATAAGCTTTCGTGGGCAAAGACCCACTTCATCAGATGCATGTGACGAAGTGGGTCTTTGCCCACGAAAGCTTATGCTCCTACACTTCAGTTAGTCTATAAGGTGCCACAGGACTCCTCGCCACTTTTGCAGATTCAGACTAACACGGCTACCCCTCTGATACTTAATATAATTTACAACACTAAAGAGGTTATAGCATTTCAGACCATAACGTTTTGTTTTATGAAGGGACAAAAATGGACCATTTTTAATTATGAATTTACACGTGCACAGAGATCACTGATAGGCTCATTTCTCTACAGATTTATGCCATCTATCCGACATTGCTAGAATGTATAAATAAATTACAGATGTTCCATGCATTCATAATTGTACGTTGATCATAAATGTCTCACCATTTGTAGTCCCGTTATCACTTTAGGTCCCATCCTGCCACTGATGTCAACAGGGCTATATATAGGTCAGCAGTCTGCCAGTATGTCAAAAACTACAGGACTACACCTTAGATTGTAAACTGTTTAGAGCAGGGACAATCTTTATGTTTTGTACATACAACACTTAGCACCATAGCCCTGGCTATGTTCTGTAGGTACACTACTGCAGTATACATAAAATAGTGAAAACAGCATATGTAACATGTATACAATTTTAACCATAGAGCAACAAAGTTTAATATGCATAACCATGTTCACAAATATTAAGACAAATTTAGTAAATACATACATGAAAACAATTGATAGGGGTTGGAAAGATTAATTATCGGCTCCGGAACCAATTCTGGAAGCACAAGTCCTATTTTTCTCAGAGCGATTGGGCACTTTATATAGCGCTGTCTATAACCGAAAGGGCAAATCAAGTGAGCTTTAAGCTTAGACCAGAGGTCGGTCAAATATGGCTCTCAGCTCGAGTTCGGCCCTGCCTTCATTCCCCCCAGCAATGGGGAGCCCACACTGGTGCTACAGCCTCGGGTCCCCTGCAAGACTGGAGCCAGTGCAGGCTTCCTATGAGGTGGGAGGGGGGCGTCTGGAGAAAGCCCTGAGCCTTGTCGTGTGATGGAGGAAGAAGAGGAACCACAAACGGCTCTGCGCTGCTGCACAGGGATGCGCTGCCTGGAGACTTTGTTCCCACTGGCTAGAATCTGGCCAACTGGAGCAGCAGGAAACCATGCCTGGGACGAGGAGCCTGAGAGCAGCGTGGGGTGCAAAAGCAAGTAAGTGCCTTGTCTAAACCCCAGCCCCTCATTGCTCCCCCAGCCCCCCTCACACTGAGACCCTGCACCCCCAGCTTGTTCCTGCCTCTCCCTCATAGCCAGACACCCTCCTCCCCAGCCAACCTACTCCCACAGCCTGCTTCTGTCCCCTACCCCCAGTCAGACACCCTACTCCCAGCCTTCTCGGGCCAGACACCCATCTGCACTCTACTCCTGTACCCTCCCTCCGGCCAGAGACCATACCCCCAGCCTGCTCCTGCACCCTCCCCCCGGCCAGAGACCCTATCCCCAGCCTGCTCCTGCACCCTCCCCCCGGCCAGAGACCCTATCCCCAGCCTGCTCCTGCACCCTCCCCCCGGCCAGAGACCCTATCCCCAGCCTGCTCCTGCACCCTCCCCCCGGCCAGAGACCCTATCCCCAGCCTGCTCCTGCACCCTCCCCCCGGCCAGAGACCCTATCCCCAGCCTGCTCCTGCACCCTCCCCCCGGCCAGAGACCCTATCCCCAGCCTGCCTGTTCCTGCCCCATTTCCCCTGGCCATACACCGTACTCCCAGCCTGCTCCTGCACCCCACCTCCCACCCAGATCTTGCACCCCCTCACCCCATCCCACTCACTGGCATCTGTCCTGCACACTGGACCCTTCATTTCTGACCCCACCCCAGAGCCTAGGGGGTCCCACAAAATCCACTAACCCTGGAACCCCAGAAGAGTTAATCTTGCCTGAGGCCTTGAACCTCAGTCCTCCCTGCCCCTCCCCACTATGGAGCTGCAGCACCAGGGGAGGGAGGTGTCTCAGTAGGGGGCCACATCACTGAGGATTGGGATTTTTTGGAGGAGCTATTTTTTTGCTTCTCACTTTGTGGTCCCTGACAGATTTTTCTGTGGGTCCATGGCCCCCAGCCTAAAAAAGGTTCCCCAGCCCTGCCATAAATAAAGACAATGGTGAAACCTTTTGTGTTGGACATCGTATTTTACATTATTTAAAATAAACTTTTGTAAACTAACATGAGAAAGTAAAAGTGCCCAGCCCCCATCTGGCCACAGCGTATTGTCCCCAGCCCCGATCCTGGAACAGGCCCTGTGGTCTTGTGCTCATTCTGGCCGCAGGAAGGGCTGGCAGCGGCAGGCAGCCCCCCCGCCCCAGCACAGGTAGGAGGGGAGGCCACGATCCGGCTGTGGTGATCCTGACCCAGCCTCTCATCCAGCTACTGCTGCCCGGGTGCAGCAGCCCAGCCCTGGCCAAGTAAGATAATTCAGTCCCAGGCTGCCCCCATGTTCTACTTCCCAGTACCCTGCACCCTGTCGCCTGTACCTCCCAAACACCTCAGTTCGCTGCCCTGAGCCCCTCACTCACCCCAACCCTGACTCCTACACCCCCACATCCACAAACTACACCTCCAGCAGCAGCAACAATCCCATTCAATAAGTCTGTGAGTACAATGTTTCATTGATGCTCTTATTCATCATCACATCAATTATCAATAATATTAAGTTGTATATTTTCAGTCATGCACATGGCTATTTTTATACGGGCTCTTTGTCGACCACTCGTTCTGAGTTTTGCGATAGTTTGGCTCTTTGGTTTGAAAAGGTTGCAGACTCCTTGCCTACACAGTTAAACTAGGTGTGGTTTTCTTTGGGGGGTGAGAGGGGAGGGAAGAGGGTGTGTTTTGTTTTAGGGGTTTCTTTGAGGCATACCAGTCTACTGCTGTCAATGTAACAAATGTTTTTTTACTTCCATAATATACTATGGATCTTTACAGGTACTAATTATGTGGCACAGATTGCATAAATCTAATCAGAATTTGGCTCCATTAGCATATCTGATCATTATTAGATTGACTGACCAATACTTTCACTGAAGGGGGGTGGAAAAAACCCAGCCTCGGCCAGGACATGCCAATACGTTATTTTTATCTCCATTCCTCTAGCCATTAGATTAGAGTGCAGCCCACACTAGTCACTGAGCAGTCTAATGCAACCTGAAAGAAATCT